AACCGGTCTGTATGTGGGATCCGAACCCTCGGGCGGGAGCGCCACCGCGCTTCCCAAGCGGCGCACTATCCAGTGCGCCACTGGGCCGGCCCCTAATCTTTGCTATTTTAAATGCTAATGTAATGATCAGTCTTTCACACAATCTTTCATCCAATCCTTGCTTTCTAGGAAAAGCAGGCTTTGGAGCCTTGGGGTGTCTAAGGCTATTTTCAGACACTTGTGCCCCATTTAAAAAAGGTGTCCCATTTGATGATGCCTGTTGGCTGTATTTGGAATAATTTCAAATTGTGCCCTTTTACAATTGAGTTTGGACATTCTTGAAGAAAGGGGCTATGTCTGTCTAAAACCAGATGGTAGGAGTTACGAGGTTTCTCATGTAATGATGTCTCATTTAAGGAAACCATGGGAACAATGGCAATAATGGAGCCACTGGCCATGAAGGGGCCAAAGGGGAGAAAGGAGACAAAGGTGACCTGGGGCCTCGAGGGGAGCGGGGGCAGCATGGCCCCAAAGGAGAGAAGGGCTACCCGGGGATTCCACCAGAACTGCAGGTAACCTGCCCTCGGCACATCTCCAGGTGACTTTTAGACCTGCCTACAGGGGGCCAGGAATTAGAAGGTTTGAGAACTTGTTCAAGCTTTCACCAATCTTGAGTAAATCCGAGTCTCAGTTTGTTCATCTACACCACACGGTGTTTGCATAAGGCCTATGCTTCCCAAACGGAAGGTTTTGAGATGATTCTCAGAAAGGAGAGAAGTTTATAGAGTGAAATCCAGCTCCCTGATAGGACCACATACAAGGCAACCTTCGTAAACTCATCTCCTATTCTTCAAATGAGAAGATATGTTAAATGAAAAAGGTTTTGGCAAACTTGAATATACAAGCTTTTAGATTCATAAATAGGATGGTGAAATGTCTACTTATAATATTTTATTTATTAATTTTGTTACATTTACATATTTAAGTCACATACATGGATATTAATATGTATTGTTTTCTACCAACTCAGCTTTTGTAGCACAATTTTTATTTAAACTTTTCTCTTCAGTATCTTATTTATCACTGGAGACATTTTATTTTTGAGTAATTCACTCAGTTTTCCAGATCAGATCATACTCATTTCATCATAAAGTTTTCTAAATTTACTTATAAGGTTATAACTGTACATTTTATCCCAAGTTCAAGTATCCATTTATCTATTCTTCATTTCTCTTTTACATAATCTTTAAAATTCTTGTTAACAATAAAATCTAAAACTTGTAAATATGAAGTTAGGTAACCAAGAAAAATTACTAAGTCTTGGTTAATTTTTTTTTTCCTAATATTTTCAAATGGATTCTTCCACAGGATTTCTATCAACATTGAAAACTAGCATTTTTAAAAGTAACATTGTTTTTGGCTAATATGTTTTCCCAAAAGGGTAAAATGTGGCTAAAATAAAATAATTGAGAGGAAATCCTGTAACATGAGAGACTTTTAAAGAACTAGAATATAAAGCTACTCTTGTCTGAAAGATCAAAAAGAAAACTTTGCCTTTTATTGGGGCATATATGGTGGTTGTTTAACCTTGGATAAGTTCCAGCATTTTTCAGGTGTAGAATAAGAGATCCTGTGTGTTAGACTCTAACCACTTTTTTCAATTTTTGTAACTTATTAATGAATATTGTTTCATAATTCCAGCAATCTGAAATTTACCAAAAAAAAAAAAGGAGTGAGATGCCACTCAGCCAGGTTAAGGTATCTAATAAGATGTATGATAAACATCTCAAAGGTAGAAGCTCCAACTGAGAACCTATGAATGGTGGTACCATGGCTAAGGGCTCTGGAGTAGCCAGTTTAATAGAGAACACCTTGGTGATTATTAAATTTTCTCCATCAATGATTTTACCCTAAAATCACAATACACTCATTTGGGAGAAATACTCCCATGTGTTTTTCAAAAGAGGGAAGACTGTTCTTAGGCAAATTGTGAAGGAGGGGAGTGCACATTCTTTGAAGACAGATAATCCCAGCAAATTAAAGCATGTATTAATCTAATTCACACCAAGTTTCAATGACTCACTTGGACAAGTCAGACTGGCATTGACTTTCAAAGCTCATTCTCCAATGGTGGTTTCAAGCAAAAGCATTTCTTGACAGGTGGAATTATCCTAAGGTTCTTTTAATTATTGTTAACATTTTGTATTTTAAACGTCAACCCTGTCTTTGTTTGTCAATAGTAGTTATAATAGTAGCAGTGGGAGGTGGAAGAGGAGTGATATAGTGTCCTATTCTCCACTTAAGTGATGTACAGATTTGAAGCTCAAATACTAAATGACTTGCCAAGTGACACAGTTAGAATTAATAGAGCTGGAACTTTATCTCACCTCTTTGGACCCAAGCAGATAGTTTTATTCCCAAATTCATAGATCCCCCACTTGCCACCATGATCAGGTTTCTTAAATTAATTCTCTCCACTGATTTTTTATTGATTGGGCAGAAGCTTTCAAAATTCCATAAAATACTATGCAAAAAGTATTTGTAACCAGCCACAGGAATGGGTGCTGGTATTAAATGGCTTCTCTGATTCTCCTAAATCTAAATTTACTGTTCCAATATAACATATTTTGTGCAAGATCATGCCCAGAAATTTTTGCTTTTCCAATATTTAAATAGATTGTTAGTTTTATTAACCATTTTTCCATATTTCAGATAACTGCAAACATTTCCTTTTGCCTTTTAAAGATTATTCACATATCTTTTCATTGTAAAAAAAAAAATGAAAGATAGCTGTGCAAAAATAAGAATAAATATCCAAATATAATTTCTATTAACATATGGTTACATAACTTTCCAGATGTATGCATATTCATACACACATATTACTTTTTAAATATGATGGGAATATATGGTACATATTTTTTACTCTGTTTCATGAACAACAATATATCCTGAACTTCTCTTCATGTAAACAAATACAATTTTATATCTTCAAAATTATTATATCTGTTTTTCTGAATACAAAATTAATACATGCTCATTTGAAAATTATAGGTGTAATGAAGAAAGGAAAAATTTCCCCTGAAACTTCTACCGAGACTTGCTGTCAATAATTTTGTGTATATTCTTGCAGACATTTTCCTCAATTTGTCCACACAACTACCCCACCCACATGGACACATTTAACAAAGTCTGGTATCAGGTCATAATGATCTTGTGCTGCCTGCTTTTTAATTAAACAATGTATTGAAAACATTTTTCCATTGCATATATATAAAATGTATATATATACATACATATGTATACACACACGCTTGTGTGTGCATATGTGTGTGTATAATACATGCATGTTGATCCTTAATCAATATCAAGGATTCTCAAAGTGTGTTCGAGAATTTATTCCATAAGAATTAATAAACATCTTGAAAATAATAATGGAAAAAAATAATGCAGGGTTGACAAAATTAAAATGTTGTTTGACTGTAGGGTTTTTCAGATCCTTTAATATGCTAACGTGCATTTGACAGCCACAAGTGAAGAATTTCATCCAAATTTTCCTACTATTAGTTGATAACAGAATTTTAATATTTCAAAAAGCATTTTAAAGGCCAAGATTCTTTGAAACATGTTCAGAACTGTTGATAGAGATTATCATTCTAGTGGCTGCATAGCATAAAAATGTGAGAAGTTATCATAATTTATTTACTTCTTTCTCTATAGGTTGATGTTAGTTCCAATCTTGCTGTTGCAAATAATGTAGCAATAAACTTACCTGCATAAAAACTTTATTTCTTTAAGATAAATTGCCTATTAATTAACGCCCGACTCTTTCCTTAGATTGCATTCATGGCTTCTCTGGCAACTCACTTCAGCAATCAGAACAGTGGGATTATTTTCAGCAGTGTTGAGACCAACATTGGAAACTTCTTTGATGTCATGACTGGTAGATTTGGGGCACCAGTTTCAGGTGAGATGAAAAAATAAATGAATAATTGAAATAATCTAGCAATTGAGAAAGTGAAGGAAGGAAGGAAGGAAGGAAGGAAGGAAGGAAGGAAGGAAGGAAGGAAGGAAGGAAGGGACTGAACCAAATAATTTCTAAGAAGGATTACCTCTGATTTTAAAAGTCCTTAGAACATAATTCTAACAGTCTAAATGTGTCATAACTGTGTCCCCTCTTTGCCACCACCCCAAGGAGTGCTTGATCCTATTTTTTTAATTAAAAAAATTGAGTAGGTAGTACACTTCCATATTTAAAAAGTCAAAACTATTTATGCACATGCATACAAATACATTTTCTCTCCTTGTTTTTACATAAAAGCTGGCATGCTCTACATTCTGACTGTACCTTGCTTTTTAAAAAAGCTAACAATATATTTTAGAAATCTTTCCTTATTAATTCATTCTTTTTCAGAGCTGGATGTTTCAAAGTATGTTTAATCATTCCTTTATTGCTGGACATTTGGGTTGTTTCCATTTTTTTGTCATTAAACACAAACTTCAATGATTAACTTTGAATATACCATCTTGTAATTGAGCACTGAAGGTATATCAGTGTAGGCTGAAGTACCAGGAATAGGATTGCTCAGTCAAAGGGTAAATGTATCTGTAAGTTTGATGAGCTGTGCCATCTTGCTCTCTGTAAGGGTTGTACCAATACACTTCTATTGTCAGCATGTTAAAGCTCTTACTTCCTGATAGCCTCATCACCAAAGTGTGTTTTCAAATGTCTGGACCTGCAATAGATAAAAAATTCTATTTTAAAAAACTTTTACTTTGAAATAATTTTAAACTTACAGAAGACTTACAAAAAAATATGACAAAGTTCTTGTATTCTCTTTAACCAGATTCCTCTAATGTTAGCATTTTGTATAATCAAAGTACAATTATTAAAGTGAAGAAATGAATCTAGGTACAATACTGTGACTAAATTATGATGGCCCAGTTTTTAGTTTCTCCTCTTGTTTGGCCATTTCTACTATGAGTTCTTGCATTTTGTTTTATAATGTCCTTTCACAGAGGTATTTGCTTCACTAATATATTTTAAACTCATGATGGATTTTTGATTACATTTTTCATCTACTGCATGACAACATGTCTTCTTGGTGAGTATTGTTCATCTGCTAGGGTCATTTTTGCTGTTCTCTTCTACTTTATAAAATTAACTGGTGCTTGAATGAGTTGGATTCTCCTAGACCAGCTGTATGCAATAGTTTCTTGGAGAAGAAAGGACCTGGGCAGTCATCCAGGTTTGGTGACTCAGTGGCTCCCTCCCCTGCAGCCAGGAGACTGACTGATTCTTTTCAGTGTGGCCCCTGTGTGTTTTCCCTGTATGGCTACACTTTTGCTGCCTCCCCAGGCTGCACTGGGTCCAGGAAAACTTCTGAAACTAGCCTTGCATTTGCTAGCTCTCTTGTCATTCGGAGCCTTATTTTTGCAGGCAGATTCTGAGGTCTGCCACTGTGGGAACGCTTTGCACATTCTGTACTTAATCTAGTAATCTTCCCCCAAAACACAGCCTTGGCCTCATGTCAGCCCTGCTCAAAGGAGCTTCTTCTCAGCATCTGTACTCAAAATGTCCCTTCTCCATCAGGGAGTGTACTTTTCCTGGCACTGTTTGAGATATGCTGCCACCTGGCTTCCTTGGAACCCCTGCCCAAGCTCCATATTACCTCCGTGTGGCTCTGTCCACCCTCAGTTGCATTTGGCAGCACTCACAAGTATTTTGAACTTTATCAATTCGTTTTTCAGTCTCCTAGTTTTGCAGAAAATGAATACCTATTTGGGTTTTGCTTTTCAATTCTCCTTGTTTGGTATCTCTCCTTATGGTATCCAGAAGGAAAAGGAAGAAAATGATGATGGATGCAATGACCACATTAGATTTGTCACAAATGCTTTTAATGGGTGCCTTATTTTTCTACCCAGCATAAGTCAGAAATGGACTGACATATGAAGTGATAGATGCAATATTTTATCACACTTCAAACAGCTTTATAAGTTCTTATGTGATTTTCTGTTCTGAAGGTTTTATGTCATAATTTTCCTGTAACTATTCTGTTAAACACTATTTGTACCACAGATTATATTAGTGCCTAAATGTACCTGGTCAATAGTTCCATTGAGTTCAATGGCTTTGTAATAGAAGCCTAAGGATTTAGTCAGTCTTTTAGAGCTCTTTTGGGGTCAACATCATTCTGATGATAACAGTCATCATTTGACTCCCACAGTTTAATGTTTAAACCTCGTCCAATAGATTGCAAAATGACCAATTTATCCATTTCAACCTTGGGAGTGATGAGCCAAAGAAGGCTGATTTTTGCAATCACAGCAAACTAAAATCCATAGTACAGGTGTGTTAGCTTTGGTTTCAGTACCTCCCTTGCAAAACCACGTGCAGATATAATATATATTCACGTCTGTATTTCCAACTTTTGACATTTCATTTATTTGCTGTCTGGTTTCTTAATCTACTCTTCCTAAACTGTTTCTGCAAGCTATTTTTTAAATAGTACTCATCAATTTTTTTTTTTTTTTTTTTTTTTTTTTAGGAAACTAATACATTTTCCTGTCATTTTGATTACAGCTTTATCTTCTTGAGGCATTGAAAATTGTCTTGTATGTGTGTCTAATATGAAGTTTTATAAAATGTAGAAAACCGAATAAATATAAACTACTTTCTTTGAGTCCTTCAATTTTTATCTGCCTTTACTTTTCATCTATGGGCCAATCTCTAGGCATATACATAAAGGGGCATGACTAATTTTTATACCATTTCCTTCGTTCTCAGCACATTGAATTGAATATGCATGTCTGGCACTAAACAAAGAAAATCATACTTCTTTAGTTGGTTCAGCTTGACTCAGAATCAGATGGATCAACATGGCAGCCTTACAGCTTCTATCTTACTTGATTGCACCTTTGGAGAAAGAATTAGAACTGTACAGTGCTTTTTTTTATAAAAAAAAAAAAAAAAAAGAAGATGTTTCTGGGTTTTTCCTCTCGCAAGGTCATAAGTTTAAAAATGTAACATGGAAATCAATAAGAGCTTGATGACTTATATTCATTCACCTTTCCAAAATGCACTCCCAAATCCAAGATCATTTGGAGTTAGAAACATTTTCCTTTTAACTCGTCTGCCTGCTGTTGGATTCTTCTTAGTTATTCTGTGAAAGTATCTTCTACACTGGCATTTAGGCTGTATCGGGTTATATTAAATTGCTTTCAGTTAAGAGCCCTAGGCTCTTGTAAGAAAACTCACATCTTTTAAAATATGTTGGTCTTTTTCAGATGAGGAGCATACAGACTTTTAGTAACAAGGTCATGTCGTTGAGTTTAAGTTGGATCTTTCTGTTTATTGTACATAATTTCACCCCCTTACAATGAATAACGTGAGAAATTACCAGAACTATTCATTTAGAACTAAAAAACATTTATTCTGTTCTCCAGTATTTTCTTATCTTTGGCTCACACCTTTGGCACATACAGTCATCTATTGTAATGCTATACTCTGCTCATTTGTCAGGCCATGGAACGCCATGTGCTCCGACAGGACTCTCTGTACTTTGTCAAGATGAGTCCTGGATAGATGCTGATAACACTTAACCTATACCTAGAGACTGCATGTACTTTGCCCTATGCACTTTGTCAGGGCACAAGGCAGTGAGATGCAGCTAAAGTGAGGTAGACTCCTTCCCTTAAAGACTTTGAAATCTTATTAGGGATACACAGTGTACACATTGAGAAAGTCTCAACAAATTTTAAAGCACTTTGAAGGTAAGCAGATAAAGGGACATGGGCAAATAAAGGTCAAGAAGAAAGCACATACTACATAGATTATCAACAAAAGAAGTGTGAATTCATTTGGCATGTCTCTGCTTTCTCTCCAGGTCCTCAATGTATAATATGTTAATATAAACATGGATAAATACCTGCCTTTTTCAGGTGTGTATTTCTTCACCTTCAGCATGATGAAGCATGAGGATGTTGAGGAAGTGTATGTGTACCTTATGCACAATGGCAATACAGTCTTCAGCATGTACAGGTGGGTGGTCTTTTCTGTCACAGGTCCCATGCTGCCATTGTTTGCTCAAAGGATGCCCATGACAGGGAAGTGGATGGGAACCAACAGAGCCTGGCATGGCCCCTGTTCTCAATGAGAGCCCCCAGACACCAATATATGGCCAGATTATTGTTACTATTAGGGAAGAAATAAATCTGATGAACTTGAGCATCAGCATTGATGAAAGGCCTTAAGCTAATTACTAGCAACACTCCCCATAACCATTCATTTGGATTCTTTTCTTAACTCATTATTTTTTTCCCTCTCTCTCTGCCCTTTCCTCTGCTTTTTTACTCTCCCACCCCCTTTGCCTGGTTCTTAGCCCTGTTGATGGCCTCCACCACTGCCCTCCACCACTGGCTGGCAGGTTACAAGAGTTGGGAGTAGGTCCCTCTCTTTAGTCTGTGCTGCTGCACTGATACTTATCCTAGCAACCTGGCCCCAGGGCTCCTTGCGAAAAAGTATTATAAAAAGAAAATATTGCACACTGGCCTGATGTTATCTCAGGGTGTTGCAGAGAGGTAAAGAACCAACACCTTCACCGTAATTAAATGGGCTATGAGTTATTTATGAAAGGCTTTGTGGCTGTCATCTTTTTCCTGTTATTTCTGATGACTTGGGATGATTGTTATGTTTTCCTCTGGAGCCTGACCTGAATGGGAAGATGTATTTGAAATGCCAAAAGGAAAAAGATGAGTTTGAATAGGTGAAATTGCTGCAACAAAGAGATCTAGAACACCAGAGGCTCAAACATGCTAGAACTCTTTTTCTTGACCAGTCCAGCGTAAGAGTTCCAGGTTGGGGAAGCATGAGGGGAGGTAGAAAGGGTAGAGGAGGGAATCGTGTAGATCTAGAACACCAGAGGCTCAAACATGCTAGAACTCTTTTTCTTGACCAGTCCAGCGTAACAGTTCCAGGTTGGGGAAGCATGAGGGGAGGTAGAAAGGGTAGAGGAGGGAATCGTGTGAAGGTTAGAAGGGGGTTTGTTCTTTATGGTTTCTGAGAGACTCAGGCTGATGAAAGCATCTCTACCATCTATAAAACTGACTTCTAGCTTCTCACTGGTCATTGTCATCGCCAGAGTCAGAAGGGGGAAAGAACAGCAAGCTTGCGGGACTTTTTATGCACTAAGCATTCTGTTCAGAGAACTTAGTTCCTTTGTTCCCCTCCGCTAACCCCACCCAACAATGTGAGGGCACCAAGGAGATGTAGTGTAGCTTCTGTGGAAGAGGGGAGAGTGGATTCTGGTGAACAGCTATCCTTCTCTGTTCCTCTGGCTTCCACGTATCTGTTGAACTCTTCTTCCTACACTTAGACCATACATCTCCCCATCTCTGTTCCCATGGGATACAGACTAAACCACAGTTAATGCATCCTGCTCAAAGCCCAGATTTGAGCAATAAGCAATCCTTTTCAGCAAGTCAATCCGTACACTATTTTTCTCTTTGGCTCCTGATTCTGTCCTCTGGGAGGGTCTTCTTTGTCTATTTTTCTTTATGGCCTCATCTAAAATGTGAGTAGGCCCTTCTAATTCACAGCCCACTTCTTGTTGCTGTAAATTTCAGGGGTATGTCAAACATCCAAGATTTTTGTAGTCCAGGTTCGGGTCTTTGGTAATACCATTTTCTCAGCAACTTAGCAGATTTTTGCTCTATTTGTAACCAGTCAGTTACATGTGTTAGGAAACCATTCTCAATGTACATTTCTTGACAGATAATTTTTTAGCCTGTTATTCCTTTGATTCTTTGTCCTCATGCATTTCTTTCAATTTAATGGTGGTTACCACAAGGCCTTCTAAAAAAATAGATTTGGGTAGAAGGGAAACATTTTTTTGTTGTTTGTTTTTTTGTCTTTTTTGTGACCGGTAAGGGGATTGCAACCCTTGGCTTGGTGTCACCCGCACTGCGCTGAGCCAGTGAGCGCACTGGCCATCCCTATATAGGATCTGAACCCGTGGCAGGAGCACTGCTTCGCTCCCAAGCGCCGCACTCTTCCGAGTGTGCCACGGGGCTGGCCCAACATTGGTTCTATATGCCGTATTTTTAAAAACTCTGTATTGGTTACTTTGCTAACTATGTTACAGGTACACCAATATTGTTGGATAACTCAGGGGCTCAGAAGAATAAACCACAAAATAGTCTTCCCAGATGACCTTGACTAATATACTCAGCATCTTTATGACACTTCCTTAGGCACCTAGAAGAGAATTCTCCTCCAATGCAGGTTGGAAATAATTGTTTCATCAGAGAAGTCATTTGCAAGGAATTTTGGTGACTCTGTTTTTAATTTAATACCAGCTTTCAGGAACCCCTGAAGTTTTGAGTTCATTATTCTTTACAACATTTCAGAGAATAGAGTGCAATGATCATGATGTGGCTGGAGCAAGAACAGGGGCACTCGCTAGTATCTATGTACCACAACCATTTGTAAAGCCTAGGCTGGGAAGCAACAATACTTTGATCCAGTGGGTTGATATTCATGAATAAGGTCTAGATATTTTTAAAGCCCAAATAGCTTTCAGATAGTGAAATTATTTACAATGCTCACAGATATTTGGCTCCTTTTTTTCCTTAATAAAGATAATTCTGTAATTAAATCGTGACTTCTAATGGCTTCCATTTTTAGAAGTAGAAGTTTTTCATGCTCCAGAACCAGGTTTATCATATCTGGCTTATCAGATTGACTCTTTGCCATTGTGTTTCTTAGATTGCAATAGATCTTTTTGACTCTGGTCTGCACAACCAGCTGAGGTGAGCTTAGGTCTATATAGGACAGATGTTAACATTTTTTCTCTCTCTCTCTTTTTTTTTTGGTGGCTTGCCAGTAGGGGATCCAAACCCTTGACCTTGGTGTTATAATACTACTCTCTAACCTAGTTAATGCCATTGTGTTTCTTAGATTGCAATAGATCTTTTTGACTCTGGTCTGCACAACCAGCTGAGATGAGCTTAGGTCTATATAGGACAGATGTTAACATTTTTTCTCTCTCTCTCTCCTTTTTTTTTTGGTGGCTTGCCAGTAGGGGATCCAAACCCTTGACCTTGGTGTTATAATACTACTCTCTAACCTAGTTAATAGGTCAGCCTATATTTTTTCTCTTAATTTGGAAATTACCCCAGTGTATTTATACTTTACACGCACTATGTCATGTTGAAGGTGCTGCAAACTTAATTATATACAGTTGAACTGACAGATTCAAAACATAAGGGTATTTCACTTAAGAGACATATGAGAAAATGTCTTCACCTTTTATTTGATAAAAAATGATGTGACTTCTTTGATTACCATATCTAACCAATATTCACAGAGAAGGTTTTATGTATCAGGTATTGTAGGAGGTGCCACTTGGCTTTTGTCTATCCCTCCCCACCCCAAAATCTATTCTCAAGGGATTAAATTTGCCACCAAAATAATATTTATAAAAATGTGCCATAGCTTATGAAGATAGTACCCAAAGGTAGCACCCCAAATTGGTTTTTTAGGCAAAGAAAACATCATCAGAATATGTGTTTACCCAGATATTGAATCATATTTAAAATGCACTAGAGAGATGCCTATCTGAAAAATATCATATAATGAATTCCTCTTGAAGTAATGAGACTATAATTTATTTTCTATTACTATTTGAATTGTAACATAGGCTTTTTAACTACAGATTTACTTGTATTGATTACCCGTATGTCTAGAGGCAGAGAAAACTAATTAGGACTGTCCTATTAGCTAACTTAGTGTCCTGCATGCTCAGTTCAGTCTTTGTCCCTTTCCTTTTGACCTAAAAATATTTTTTAAAACTCTTCCTGAGTCCACATCTAACACTGTTTTAAAGTGAGTGCATATTACCTATGATGTGCTTGACCAGTAATGTTTTCACACTTTTTTTTTGTATGTGTTTCCTTGCCAGGGCTGTGGAGTTGTTGAGTTAAGGTTTACTATTACCAAATGTCATAAATATTTCATAGAAGTGCATCGCCTACAGATATTTAAATGTTGCATGTTGACCAAAGGGATTTCATATCTGAAGAACGTATACTACTAATAAATGCCTGAGAGGAGAATCTTGGCCTGGCTTTAGATAAAACTGCAGCAAAAAATGTAATAAGCAATATATGGAAATAAACACATTTTTGTTAAATGTACTGTTTTTTAATGTTCTTAATAAAGTTTAATAGTCATACAATTGTAAGTCAATGTGGTTAAGACAAAGTAAAAATATTTCCATGCAGAGAATGTGAACAGCCACACAAATCACAATCACACAGGCAAAGAGCTGGGTCACAGGCAAAGAGCTGGGTCACCTGTCTCCAAAAAACATTAGTTTTCAGTTATTCGATTGTTATAACTTGAACCCTTTAAGATATTGATATTTAGAGGGTCCCCCAATAAAATCTGAATATCCCTGAGGGGACTTCAACACACGCCTGAAGTTCTTCTATGTGCATGCTTAATCTAGTTTTCACCTTAGTGAAACATCAAAGTCTACTAAGACTTGGGTGTCTTAGTAGAGGCACCCAAGATTTTGTTGTAGGCAGGTGGAAAGTATCTTGGGCTTACAAATAAGCTCCAGGTGTGAAGAAAAGTGATTCACAAGGGAGACGGGAGAAGGTCAAGGTAATTATTAATACTTTCACTATTTTACCCAGGACCAGAATTATACCTGGAAGACTGATTACACAGATGTTCTTAAAATTAAGGTACTAACAAGGAGACAGTAAGTGTGGTGGAAATTTTAAATGTATCATCTAAAATATCAACTTTTAAATTCTCAAGCCCAAGTGAAGGCAACCCTGCAAATGAAGCACATGGCTTTCTGCTTGCTGTAGGAATGCAATACAATGTAGAACTGCTGTATGTAATGATCAGCTTGGGTGATTTTCCAGAGTGGAAAGGGCTACATTTGACTTTTGGACAACAAAGAGATTATATTAAAGGAATTTTATTGAGCATATCATGAATAAAAGCTGAATTAAAAAATAAAATTTAAAAAATATTTGGAGGATGGAACATGCAAATATAAACTCCCAAGAAGATGGCTAGAATTGGTAAACACCTACCTGCGGAAGATGCTGTGCTATTCCAGGAGTTACTTTGGCTTATAAAATGAGATTTGAACCTACCCAAATTTTCAACCTAAAAGGCAACAATAGGTTAAAGGTGGTAAGTGCCTGGATAATATAAGGTAAATTTTAACAGCCACAGAAGGCAAAGGGCTAGCGATTCATAGCAGAGAGAAACAACATCCAGCTGATAACATAAAAAAAGTTTGTGGGCAGAGATAATTTCTTTGTTATGTTTGGAGTGTTATTTTTAAAAGCATCTTATTATTTTCTGATTGTAAAAAAATACTCACTATAGAAAATTTATAAACTACATAAAAGTATTGAGCATAAAAATTAATCATCCCACCAAATATTAAATATTAGCATTTCGAAGTATTTATTTCAGTCTTTTTCTACATATGTTATGGCTTTTATTTTTAAACATAGTAATAAAACAAACCACTTGAAATTATGCTTTTAATATGTTTTTGCATCTTGCTATGGTTGGACCTAACATACTTAGCACACTCCCAAATGCCGTTAAGGACGATTTGAAAACATAATTGTAGTGGTTGCACAATTTATTTAACCTTTAATATTTGGGAAGATATTTTTGCTATTTCCGGTTTTTCCTTCTATTACAAATAATGTGTCATGAGGATTCTTTTTTAAAAATAATTAAGCTATGTGTGAATATAATTATTTCCTTCAATTAAATTTCTAGAAGTGAAATTATTTGTTCAAAAAGACTAGACATTTTGGGGCCGGCCCTGTGGCGCACTGCTACAGTGCGCCGCTTGGGAGTGCAGTGGCGCTCCCGCCGAGGGTTT